GTTGTGTGTTTTGAGTAGTGTGCAGTCTGAGCATAAACAGCTCACTGTTTGAAACTCTGGCATGTTTAATATGAATGTTTGTACAGGAACCATGAAGTGTTCGGAGCATCAGTGCCAGCACAACACTGTCAAACATTCTGTGGGTCGGGATTGTTGCTCAGCTCAGTTTCAACTTGAAGAGAATCCAAATTAACAAGAGGCCCAGTGATGGAGAGATGCTGATAAATAACACAGGATGAAGAGAGAGAGACACAGTGTGCAGACACAGACGAGAGCGAGGAGAGAGGATCTCATTATGATTCTGCCCTGACCTCGTTCATCAGTCTTCATTCCTCCTGTGTGTCCTTGGTATCGCAGCAGTGCTTCTGCTGCAGTACAGCTGCACTCAGTCCTGCTCGCAGCACTTCAGAGGACTTTACACCAGCTTACATTCAATGCTTCAAGTCGTGGATTTGTCCTTTGTCCACCAAAGAGAAGTCGAGTCCCCACAAAGTGACCGACAGTTTTATGTCCCCACAACATTGGTAATACAAACGTACATGCGCGCGCACACACACACACACACACACACACACACAGGAGGACAGTACTGCTGCAGGCTTTGTGACATCATCATGACTGGAGTTTTTTGAGGACGTGGCTACGTGTCAGTCAATGTGACACAAGTGTAGAAAAACTCCCACCTGAACAGTTAATCGGTCTTCATCCCTAATCTCACCAGCCTGCAGCTGAAGCAGCACATGAATCATGTGACCTTAATCTGCACGTTAACCTTTTCACACTTATTTACCATCAGATGATGAAAACATGAGCGCTGCCCTGGTTACCTTTTTTAGCTCCACAGTAATAGTCCAAGCTTTGCCTTTGTGAGCACAACTCAACTACCTCGCAAGCTAACGGAAGCCATGGTTACCATTGTTTACATCCCCATGCTAACGTTAGCGCAGCACTCAACCAGCAAACAGCAGCGAGGGCACCCTTAGAGGAGCTCCTGGTGGGTGGACACTACACTGATCCACCGGGCGACCTCGTGTGTCACCTTTCCATCACTCGTGACCGTGACACACTTAAACTTCCCCCACAGAAATTCATCCTCAAAGCAGAAGCAGTAACGCGAACCTGCTGCTGGAAAAAGTGGATTTAGTATTATATTTACATTGATGATGATGAGAGCGTGAGATGCGGCGCTGTGCACAGAGTCTTCTACCTGAATTATTCATAAACCTTTATTCTGTGGATAAAAATAAGAGTGTCTCATAAATGCAGTACTATACAGATGAAGTGAACGGATACACGATGGTGCCTCACTGAGGCGCTTTGCTCTCCGGCCACAGTGACGGTGACGTCCAGCCGTGCCCGAGTTCATCGCTCTTTACCAGCTGTGAGTGTTTGATGGGAAGCTGTGAGTCAGCTTTCTGCAGCATCTCTTTCTTCACATCAGTGAGAGCAAACATGTTCTCAGTTTAGAGGTGAGACTTGATGCTGAATAATGTTGTTACTGTGAGGGAAGCACGTGGCCGCGCGGCCTAAAGCGCGGCGAGCCTTCGGGCCGTGCAGATGATCCAGCAGCTGGCCGCTGAAGTCACAAGCTCTTCGGCGGTCTCGCCTTACCTACCTCGCTCCTCCATAAGCACATCAGCTGTTTGATTTCAGGCCTCCAGAAAAGCTCGTGATGCTCAGTCGAGTTGAGGGCGAGCTCGGAGGGACGGTTCTGGTTTTAGCATCAGCGCAACGTGAGAGGGAGGCTTCGCTCCGACGCCAGAGTAACTGGCTGTAAATGACTCGTCGGTCTGTAATCTGTCCAACGTGTCTCGCGAAGGAGATCAAGTCATTTCCTTGTGACAGTGTGCAAAGTGACTTTGATGCGTCTTTATTTATCCCAGTGAAAAGTGCCATTGAAGGCCAAGAGGGCAAATCTAACAGCTCAGAGCTATAAGGATATTTGAGAGTGCTTATAATGCACACTAATGTAGAGTCAGTGATACTTACAAACTGGTGGATCAGGAGTGTTCGGAGGTCTGACCAACACCAGCATGTGATGGAGGCTGTGTGGGCTCAGGAACACAGGTGTGTGGGTCCTGACAGAGTGAAGAGAATCGTCTCCCTCCAAAGAACAAAGTTATAAAATCAGATGTTTTCATGCATTTTAAAGAGTAATTTAGCTGCTGCTGCTTTAATTTGATCAACACATTTGTGATGATGTTTTATTTACGTTTTATTTTCTTGTCTAGTAGTACACTGTCACCCTGACCTTTATTTTGAAAGTTCAGTCATTTGTAACCATGTGATCTGTGGTTCGCCCGCTGCCTCTCGTCCCACGCTCAGCTGATCCTGAGCCTGCAGCAGAGTTCAGCCACTTTTAAACTTTTTCATCTATATAAATAATTTGTTTGATTATTTGAGCTCTGCAACAGCAGCTGCTGTCTGTGTTTGCAGCATTTAAAACCGTGACGTTCCTGAGCTCTGAGTGCTGACTCGGTGTTTGCTCTGCATTCCTTTCCAGTTGAAACGAGAGTCTCCTAAACTTAATTAAGATGCAGGAACCAGTGAGGCTACACCCTGTGGTCACATGTCTGTGTCTGTGGGAATTACTCACATGCACTCGTGTGTGTGTGTGTGTGTGTGTGTTGACACATTTGAGTTATGTATACTGAACTCTTGTCGCTGTGGTTTTATGAACTTCTGCAACCAGAGAGACACAAACCTGCGACCTGCTGCAAGACTTCACACAGCAGCAGGTCGCAGGTTTGTTTCCCTGCAGCTTCCTGGCCTCTGGATTTGCATGCAGTCTTACCTGTGTGTGTGTGTGTGTGTGTGTGTGTGTGTGTGTGTGTGTGTGTGTGTGTGTGTGTGTGTGAGATGGGTGTGGCATACCAATAATGCGTGTCTGTGTGCAGGAACAGCAGACTGTTTTTATTAGGGGCGGAGTGCATTTAAGCATTATCTCCACGCCAGCCCAAACACACACACACGAGCCGGTGGCGCTGAAGCTGCTGCAGAGCGATCAGCTGCCACATGTTTCAGCTGTTAATCACTGGCAGGAGTCAGAGCTGCTCCTCTCCGGATTTTTCCGCTCCCTCAGGGCTGTAATTTAGTTTCTGTGCAGACGCCGCAGCTCGGCTCTCTGCAGGAGGGCGGGGCCTGTCGGCTTCACACCTTCATTATATTTCATCGGGGTACCTGACGTCATTGGTGCTGAGAAACTTCTGGAAATTTGCAGCATGCATCATCACCAAAATGAATGAAACTGTTGTCTTTGTTCAGCAGGTTCAGTCTGGGCTCAGCTGTGGATGCTGACTGGGATTTAAAACCTGCCAACATGTTTGTTAGCAAGCAAACTTCAGCAAATTCAGATTAATGCTCTTAAACTTAGCTGGTTTATTGTTCTACCCACGTTTATTCAGAGAGTCGGAATAACATCAAGGACTAATCCCAAAGTGTAGACCCCTGATGGGCCGAGAAGGTACTGCAGGTGACCGACAGTAATAACAGTTTGTTATGGCTTCAAAACATGAATGAAAACACAACAAGGAGTTGTTCATTTAAACAGTCCTGCAGCACTAACACGTATCTACAGTTAAATCCATTTTTCACTTTGTTTGAAAAAAACACACAATAGCTTTTATTTATAATACAGCGAGCCTCGCAGGTGGAAACATATTAAAAAATAAGGATCACAAACTGAGCTCTGCAGATTTCAGAAACTGAATTGTTTGCAAAAAACAAGTTTTGGACGCTGGTTTATCTGCACGACACACGTGCAGCTCCGTGTTTCTGCACGCGCGTCACAGATGGTGTCAAGCTAACAATGCTAATGCTATAAAAGCAGCCTATCACGTAGCTGCTGTGGAGCAGCGCGACCAGCAGAAACTCAGACGACCACTTTCAGCGACTGTTTCTGGAGAGTCAGAGGGAACGGTTGGTGTTATGAATACCAACATATCTGTGGGCTCAGCGGGGGCCAGGAGGGGGGGCTAAAAATACACGTTTGGAGTAAACATGCATCCATCTCACCTCCATCAGGACTGAACCCACATCGAGGCTCGGAGGCTTCTTCCTGTAACGTTGTCGTTCAAACCTGCAGTCTGTAATCAGGGTGTCTGAAAGCTCTGCTGTGCCACAGCACCGCGTGAGAGTTACCCATCTATCCACCCAGTCATCATCCACGTATTTGTTATTGATCTTATTTCTTACTGTGTAATCTTTTACTTTTTTAAATCTCTGTACAGCACTTTGGCCAACATTTTGTTGTTATTAAATGTGCTTTATGAATAAAGTTCCACTGCACAGCTCCACAGTGTCACTCGAGCCTGTAAAGTTCAATCCCTGAACCTTCTGTAGTGATTCTTCCTCAGAAACTTTCTTTAAACCAGGAGAAAGGTTTGCTCTTTATGGTAAACTGAATATGGTGACCTCATGGAGGCGGGCTTTCCTTTACCATCAGAGGGATCATGTGATCACCCACTGTGGGCTGCCAGGCTTTTTTTATACCAGTGAGCTCACCAAAGTGTCCCAGGCTGCTGCAGCTTTGTCCTGATCCTGCAGCTCTGCTCAGTGAGGAGCGCCTGCAGACGCTGCGCTGAGAGCTGCTTTGTTGTGGTTCAGAGAAACCGCAGCAAACGGGCGTTTGAAAGGTTTTCCAGTAAAGGTCCTTCGTAGCTCTACATGGAAGCGTTCTCTGAACTGGTTCTTGCTTTGCGTGATAACAAAGCTCCACCTGCAGCCTGTCGGTCTGCACTGAAACACAAGTGTCACACAGACTAAGCTGCAAAGTGCACGTGAAGCTAACCGAGGGAACCTCGCAGGACTCGTTTGACTCCACATGTCCAAACTTTGCTGCTGAAATTTGTCTTTTTTTGTTTTTCTTTGGAAAACAATTTAAAACATTTTTTAATTTAATCAAATTTCATCACTTAGAGTTTTAGAAGAATAGTTTTCAGAACAGTTGACCTTTCTGAGGTTGTGACCTTTAACATCATCTTTTCCTGTCTTCTGTCCAGATCCTCTGACTCTGTGTCTCCATGGTGAAGTGGGCGGGGTTTGATGTCAGCCCCTCATCTCGTCGACCCTCCCGCCATGCCCACCATGGTCTCTAGGTTGCCCAAGTTTGGTTCTCGGCCCAGATCTCAGACGGCTCCCGCCGCCGTCAGCACCAGCGCTGCTGCTGCTGCCGCCAGCGCCGGCACCCGCCTCACCAACGGGTTCTACCACCACCCTGGACCATCAGGGGGCAACGGCGCCCTAACGGCGCCCCCGTCCTCGGCTAAACAGAATGGATTTATCCGAGTGCCGAGTTCGATTTCTGTGAAATTGAGGAGAGAAAATGAATTGATGGTGGACGGCGGCGGTGATGGGGAGAGGGCGTGGAGCCGGGGGAAGGGCGGGTGGAATCGCAGCAGCGTCCAGCAGTTTTACTCCCAGCGTGACGCCAAAAAAGCAGCCTCTGTGGAAAAGGGGCGTGGCTTTGGCCTGCCTGTGCCATCATCATCATCGCCGTCTCCACAGTCCAGCCCCAGCACGCCTCCTGCTTCCAAAATCAGATCCAACAAACTGAGTCCATCAGGGCCGACCAACGGCGCCAAACACGCCCTGAATGGCGTTTCGGGGCCAAAACCGCGGCCCGGACCCAGCAGCTCTCTGAGACGGCCTCAGAGTTTCCTCTCTCGTGCCGGCGGTTCTGGTCCTGGATCTCGAGCTGGTTCCCCGTTCCAGAAGAAGACTCCAGCCAACCGCTCGTACTCCAGCGACAGCCTCGGCTCCGCTGTCTCCGTCCGGCTCACTGAAGACGATCGCTTTCGCTCACGGAGCCTCACCCAGGTCCGACGGCAGCCCTCCCCCACCCTCACTCCTTCCTCCGCCTCCTCCTCGTCCCTCCCTCAGTCCCCCTCCACCAGCAGGGCCCCACCTAAAGGCAGCCTGCTGAAACCACCTGTTAGCAGCCAGGCAGGTAGAGGCGGAGCCTGTGTTGGTTCTGCTGCTTCAGCGAGGTCGGGGGTCCCCTCCCTCCTGCCTCCATCTGCCTTAAAGAAACCTCTCCTACCCAGCCTGAGCCCCACCTCCAGGCCCAGTGGCATCAGCTACAAGATGTCACGCCCAACACTCATCAAGCAGTCCCGCCCACTGCGAGCGACGACGGCCAATCAGTGTGTAGACGACCAAGGACTGAGCAGACGGAAGGACTCTGTAGAGACGCCTTCGACGACAGAAAACAGCCCAGGTTCAGCTTTTAACTCTTTATTTTACCCACAGCTTTTTTTGTCTGTTTGTAGTTTCTCTCTAACAGCTGCTCGTCCTCCTCCAGAAAACACTCCAGAGGCTCCGGACGCAGAGGAGCTGCCGGCAGAGCCTGCATCCCAGGCAGAGGTGTCGATTTTAGGGGAGACGCTGGAGGACATGTCCCTGTCTTCCACCTCCTCTCTGGATAGAAACGACACCAGTCAGGAGTACATGGACGACTTTGACAACCTCGGTGAGATCAGATTTCTTATTTTATACAGATGTCAGTAAATTAGAATAATATCCGACTTCACGGCGACGCTTGTCTGCTGTTTGCAGGAAACGGAGGCGTCGGCATCCTGCTGCTCTCCTCCAAAAACGAGGAAGACGACTCCGGGCTCGACCAATCGTGCGCCAGGTTTGATGACGACAAGGTGGTCGCTAATTGTGTCACCAAGGCGACCGGGCTGTGTTTTCTGGATGATGGTATCGACTGGAGCAGCGTGAGACTCACAGGTGAGTTTTATGAGGAGCAGGAGGGAGGAGAAAAAGTGTCGAGATGACTGCTTAAAAAAATAATCCTGCTTGTGTTCAGGTGAACGAGGAGACCATCAGCTGACCCGACTCTCCCGCCGGAGACGGTCCAGTCAGCCGGACTACCACGAGCAGGTAGCGCCATTAAACCCATACAAAGAACTTTCTATCCACCAATCAGAAGGAGCTATCAGTGCCCACAGCAGCGGCTCTCTTTATAAAACCACAGTCTGCCAACCTATCAGCTAATGCTGTGGCTTAGCCTGTGCTAGCGGCCATATTTCTTGTAGTTTTGGGCCAACACTTCCTGTTACATTTGCCAGATTTTGTTTTTTAATTAGAGAAATCAATAAAAGCCAGTAGGCTGCTTCATTTGTATGAAAAAATAGAGTCTAACAGCACAAACACAGTCCGGAGGTCCAGTTCAGGGACTCCAGTTAGCTGAGGTGAAGCTAGCAGACAGCTAGCAGCTACAGCCACCTGTGTCACCATTCACCTGTCAGTCAAAGAGGCCACACCCCTAATAATGCAGACTTTAAGCCTTAAAACAGTTTAAAAAGGTGAGTTGTGAAAACAGTTGATATGAAGAGTTTCTGTATGAGGCCGTTTGTTTCTGCTGTAGAGCTTTAACACTGCAGTTCCTCTAATGTCCACTAGAGGCTGACTGCCTCTAGTGGACATTAGAGGAACTGGAGGCTTTGATATCAGCACAGGAGGATGCTGCTTGGCCTCACCCTGCCTTCAGCCTCACCTCATAGACCCACTTCAGATATTTAGCCTCTTGAATTGTCACAGTTTCCTCCATTTGTCAAACCTTAAACCCATTTCCAGAAACATGACTTTGAGTCATACTTTGACCTGACTCACAGCTCAGGTGCAGCAGGTGAAAGCAGCCCCACACGTGGACAGTTAACAGGCAGGGTGTAGACGTGGTTTCTGTCCCTGAAAGCCGGGCGAGGCAGGACGCTGTTGGGAAAGACAGAGGAGGACGTCTGTCCTGCTCTCAGCTGCAGTCATGAACGTTTAATAAAAGCTGAAAAACTCCACGTGGTCTGAATCAAACATGTCCGTCCCCTCTGCAGGGCGGCTCGTCCCTGGACCTGTCCCCCTCCGACAGCTGCGGGTCCGGGGGCACTTACATGTGGGACGAGGAGGGTCTGGAGCCCCTGGGGGGCGTCGCCACAACCGCGTCCATTCACACCAGCAGCAACACCACCCACCACATCGGGAGCTTCGACTCCGACCTCAACAGCATCGTAAGGACAAACCTGCAGCTCACACACATTTGCCCCCAACCTTCCTCCAGGCTGGTTTGTAGTTTGGATGATTTCGTGGCAGCGCAGCAGAGGAATGACAAAGAGGAGCGTTTAACATTCAGGAGGCGTCTGCTGTGCTGCTCCGCTGAGGTTTGCTTCCACAGAGACGGCACAATGGAGACGCTTCATCCTGATGGAGTCACGTGTCAGATTAGCACAAAGTTTTTTAAAGTCTGAGCTCGAGGCCTCTCAGGGGAGCTCAAAAAACAGCTTCACTCAGACTGGTCTTGTGTTTTGATTTCATTGATTTGAAATGTCCAAAGTTTAGTCAGAGTTCATGTTTAACCCACAGTTTCATTTATCAAACTGAAAATCAGACATTTTAATCTCACGATGAACGCTGGTGTCACGTTTCAGCTCATCTAAGTCTGCAGGAAGTCCTCTGGCTCCCTCTTGTGTCCACTCTGTGAGTTACACTGACGGCAGATCAGATGTCCTGTTCTTCTTCTTGTTCTGCCCTTTCTTCATTTCTCTTCTATAATTTCTCTTTACTTCTTCATTACATCATGTTGTTGTTGTTCCTTTTATTCTTTGTACTCCTCTTTAGTCTCGTCCTCACTCCACCTTTCTTCTTCTTCTGATTCTTCTTCTACAGTTGAAGGGATGTTAAAGGTTCCCTCACTGTTTATACTCCCTTAAATCCAGCTGCGGTTTCTGTATTTGTGGTCAGGAGTTTATTTTTTACTCCGTAGTGATACGTTCAGTGTTCAGCATCTCTCTCTCTTGACCTTCCTCATGCATCCTTTCTATTTTTGAACAATATCAGACATTTATTCAGTAAAGTTTGTCTCCAGCTTCCAGTGTCCACTGAAACTTTACAGACACTGATGTTCATGAGATGATGAGAGAAGCTGGAAGCTCCCATTCTTCTCACGGTTTTCCAGTTTTAAGAGCATCTCTGCTAAAGTCCGACTGGTTTATCGGTATTATGGACCGTAATGGTTACACGTGTATGTGTCGGTGTCAGCTTGTATAACAGCCAATAAATGAAACCTTATAACGTGGATAAAAACACCGTTCGACCATGTTATCAGTGCGGATGTTGCATAATTTGTCCACCAGAGGGCACTCTGCAACCTTCCTGATGAAAACACAACAACCAGCTGAAATAAATAAATAAACTGGCACAGGAAACAGGAAATCAGTTTAAACATCCTGTATCTGTGCGGCTTAAACGCCACCCGGCCATTCTGCTTGTTGCAGGTTAATAAATCGCACTTTGTTAGCATCAGAGTGTTTCCTGGGAGCTACAGCTGCCATAGACGACTAATGTTTCTGTCTTCTTATCAGACATGAAGTGAGCATCTGGGTGGTGTTACACAAAGCTGAAGGCTAACAGTCAAAGGGATTCAGATGTGTTAAACTGCTTCGAGCCGTGGCTTCATGTACGCTCTGTCTGAGTAGAGTTAATCTCCATCCTGAATGATGCTGAGAGGCTGTTAATGAGCTCCCGTCTCAATGTGCCCTCTGCGTTAATGAGCTGTGGGCCCAACGAGTGATTGATCGCAGTGAGCTGAGGGTCTTAATGATGTGAGGACATTAACGAGCTCTGGACTGATGGCTCAAGCCTTTCTCGTCTTCAAGCTTTAACCTGATTGTCTTCTGTTTGTTGGTGGATGTGAAACTGAAATTATCATTAGAAATGTTTGACCCGACCACCAGGGGTCAGTGTTGTCTCAGAGGAAAGCTTTGCTCCAGGACAGCGACGAGGTTTCTGTGTTTTCATCAGTTCAGCGACCCGAGCGAGGACAGAAAAGGAGGAGGAGTAACGATGATCAGAGGGGGGCGTGGCACGAGGAGAGTTTAAGAAATGTTATGAAACAAAACTACAATTTTTAACTCTCCTAAAGTTGATTCTGTTCATCTGGACGTAGCGTTTTGTGGGAGAAACGTTTCGTCACTCAGTGACGTCTTCAGGTTCAGCTGACTGCAGGTTTCAATCTTAGAAACAGGACATTTGCATAATGACTGAAACCAGTGAAGGAACAACGGGCTGGGAGGGCAGTTCCTTCATCTTAATTATGCAAATTCTCATGACCGTTGATCAACAACCACTGATCAAAGACCATGTTAACATTTTTAACCACTTTTTATTCCACAATAAAAGCCATAAACAGGATTGGCAGATAAGGAGTTGCTTCCTGTTTAGGCTGGATTAATACGGAAACGAGAGCAAGCCGAGAGCTCAGCAACGTGTTTCAGTTTTATGATGTTTTTATTACAACATGCTGACGTCGGCCTTTTGATGTCACTGTGATGTCAGAGGGCATCTTCTTCATGTTCTTCCTGTTTCCTCCTGTAGAGGGCAGTGCTCGTTATTACATCTTCAGGTTGAACCTTCTCATGATTTATTGATTATGAAATCAGTACATACTATAATGTTGTGTTCTCCTGTCATGGACTCGGTTAGCGTTTAAATGATTGTTTCATGTGTAATGAGGTTACTTTAGCTTCTGTGCTCACAGCTCTATGAAATATCCTGAAGTCTAAATCAGTGATTTAGTTTCTTGCTGATACGTGTTTTTGTGAATGATGTGGGCAGAAGAATGAGAGAGAAGGAAAAGGAAGAGAAAAGAAGGGAAGAAGGGCAAGAGGAGGGAGGTGAAGTGACAGGAAGGAAGTAGGAGAGGAAGAGGTGAAGATGACAAAGAGGAGCAAAGAGATGAGGGAGCAGGAGGAGATTAGGAGGCGGTGCGTTGATGTGGATGACTGCTCTCAGCCACCTGTGTGCGTGCGTG